AGGAGCTTGTTGCATATTCTTTATGCTAAAGCTTTGTCAATTATATGCTATGCAAATACCTTCATTCAGTCTTGGTTTTTTAACTTTCCTGATGGTACTTTTTAATTTACTTGAATGTATTAATTATGATTTGTGCTTTTTGTTTGTTGTTCTTTTTTCTAGAAATCACTTCTTGCCCTGATATTATAAAATGTTGTTCTGTGTTTTCCAAAACTTTCAAAAATATGATTTTTCAAATAAAATTCTGAAGAACCCTCGAGCATGTGTGTGTGTGCAATAGTGTAAGACAGCTATTACTTTCTTTCACATCTATTCATTTATTTTACCTTTTCGTCAATCTACTCTATTCGTAGAGTAGACACTATCAGAACTGACAGGTATAACAAAAACCTGAAAATACATTTCATAGACCCAAGACCACAGAGCTTGTCAGTGACCAAGAAAATCAAAGTGCGCATCTCTACCTGAATGAGCCCCAGGCATTTCCGTTGTATCAACATGTAAATCTGAAGCCTTATCTTATCTTCACTCCTCACGCCACCTCCCCGCCCACACTGCTCCTCTTCCTATGTTCAGGTGTAGTCATGGGTTTTATCAGCTGGGCTGCCGCTTCAGCCATGGAGATGGTTGCACACTGGACTTCCTGAAAGCTGGGTGGGCACCCTCCCCAATCCCCAAGCAGAGATTAGAATATAATCAGTCTGGGTGAGGCCAGGCACTGATAGTTCCTAAAACTCCCCAGATGATTTTAACATGAAGCCGGAGCGGTTAACCTCTAGATCAGTGTCTTGCCCCCACTCCTACCCCTGCATATTTGGTAATACCTGGAGAAGTTTTTGGTTGTTTGTCTCCCCAGCACTCCCCAGGAGTGCTACTGTCATCTCATGGCCAGAGGCCAGTGATGCTGTCCAACCACCTACCATGCTCACAATGCCAAGCCCCATAATCATTAAAGAAAGAAAGCATTGACAGCCGAGGTTGAGAATTGGACCTAGAGTATGCTACCTCCACCCTTGCGACTCAAAATGCTGCTCAGCACCAGTGGCATGGCAAGGACATCACCAGAGAACTTGTTAGCCATGAGGAATCTCTGGGTCCTCCCCAGCCCTTCTAGTCAGAATCTACACTTGAACAGGAACCCCAGGTAGCTCAGGTGCAGGTCACAGTTCGAGAGGCCTTGCACTGGGCAGCTTCCCCCATCTCCCCTTCCCCCTGCAGGTCTAATCAGATAACACATCCTGTCAGCACTATATCTTTATTCTATCTGAAATTGTCCTGACCCGTCCATCCCGAGGACAACTTTATCGGCCCAAGACTTCATCTGAAGTATTGCAGTAACCTTCCAATCTGACCACCCTCTTCTGTCCTAGTCAAGCTCCTTACCCTTCTGAGAGTTATGACATATTTTAAGATGAAAGAACATAAGCAAACCTTCCCAGGGGAAAACGCACACATGCACACACACCTACCCACCCTCACATACTCCAAACATGTTGTACGCAATTTCAAGAGGTTCACATAGCTTCTAATGTGCTCCTCAGACCCCTCCAGGCAAAAATCTCCACCTTAGTCTCTGAGAAAACAGATGTGAACTTTTGGGTCTCCTCTGAAAGCCGCAGCTCTTTGGTGTGGGTACCCAGGCCCCCCCACAATTCCTCTCCACCACCAACAGCACAGCCTACACCAGCCTGCCACATTCATGGCAGCTGCCTGTGTGCAAGTGCTCTGCCCCACCCCAGAGTTAAGCAGATGCTGTTCCTCCTGCCTGCTGCACCCTTCCTTCCAGGGTTGCCTGGCTTAACCCTGCTCCCACTTTGGGTTAGGTTACCTTTACTTGTGATCTCTTAGTTCCCAGAGCTTCCGTCTGCCACAGCACTTCCTGAAGTATATTAGAGGGTATGTGTGCATGTGTGTATGTGTGCGTGTGTGTGTGTTTCTTACAAGTCTCTCATCACATCTGAGACAGGAAAGGGTATCTTTCATCATCTGCATTACGCCTGTAATCCCAGCATTTTGGGAGGCCGAGGCGGGTGGATCACGTGAGGTCAGGAGTTCGAGAACAGCTTGGCCAACATGGCGAAACACTGTCTCTACTAAAAGTACAAAAATTAGCTGGGCATGGTGGTGGACACCTGTAATTTCAGAGTTTCATCTCTGCAACTTCAGTTCCTGACACAAACAAAAGCTCATTAAAGGTTACTAATAAATGTAAAGGAACAATAAAGCTAGCATTATTTCTACTCTATCATATTGCTTTCCAATGTATGCTTTGGTAGCTTGGCATTTTCTCCTTATTAATAAGGTATAATGCCTTATTTCTTAGTCAGGCATTATACTCAGCAAGTATGAGTGTTCATGCTTTTAAAACACATTTTCTTATATTCCTGAAACATAAGTAAAAAAGATTAAAGGTATGATCACAATAAATGAGTGAGTGCCTAGGTGTCCCCTGGGTTCTGAAGAAACGTACCCCAAGATCTATGCTCCCATAATATTCCCTGCAGAAGCTCAGCCCTGACTGCAGCATGTCTTTCTCTGGGAATTCACAGCCATTCTCAGTTGATTATGGGAGATGAGAATCTAGAAACAATTTCCATGTTTGAATGTCCAGTTGAAAGAGTTCATTAAGGACATAGATCTTGAATTTGAATAAGAGATAAAAGCTTTAAAGCTAGGAATGTTTATCACTGAAAACATTTTAATATACCTGCAGAGATTACAAACTAGTGCATTATGTTTATTTTAAAGGGATAAGAGCCTCCCTAACACCAGGTCACCGGTTTTCAGGTAAAACCAGAATTTACAAACTCACCATCCTCATTTAGAGAAATGTTGGGAAAGATGCTTAATAAGAATAGAGCATATTCATTAAAGAAAAGTCTTTTACAAACAAATAACGTTAAAATATTTTACAGCCATGTTGTTTCATATCTTCTACTCTTTTGCAATTACAACTTATTTCTCTCTGCCTTCCAAAACAAACAAACATGAAATGTCGTTTGCTTTTAAGGTGTCACCTCTTTTTTGCTTTGATTTAGTGCTCTTTGGCCACAAGCCCACTGGCCCCAAGCCACGTCAGGCTCCTCTGCATTGCCTTGGAAGGGAAGGATTTGGCATCGCAGCGCAGGAAGCCTGCTCTGGCCAGCGTTCCCACAAAGTGCCCTCTGAGTGGCAGCTGCCATCTGTTCGGCTTTCTCTCCTTAGACAGGGCAGGTCCTAAGGATGCCCTGTGCCCCTTTTCCCAAGACAACCCCCCTCCCCCAAGACAAAGGTTCTGTCCACACTCCCCAGGGAAACAGGGTAGAAGGGCAGATCCTCCTCAAGGACCAACATAAAGGAAACAGCAAACAGCCTACATATTTGAAAGTGTTAGCAAGGTCCTGTCTGAGGAAAACAACAACTAACAAAACAAAACAAAACAATCCTCTTCTCTTCCAAACACCCTTAAGTCCTCAATCCTAGAATCATTTCCTCTCTGTCCACATGAGTTAGAGCTGCACTGAATTTGTCACTGCAGACAGGCAAGATAACAGAGAAAAACAAGTCAGCAGACACCAACCAGTAAGCTTTTGAGGCCTTACATAAAGAGAATGTTCTGCCAGTATCTGGGGTTGGTATACCTGGTTTGAGATCGGTTCTTCTACTTACTGGCTCTATCTCAAACAAATCACAGAATCAATCTCTTTGAGCATTCATTTCCTCCCCTGTAAGATCAGAATGAGATTAAAAATAAAACTTATCTCACAATAGCCTCCCTCATACTCTTCTTTAATTCAAGGAGAAATTTTGCTTGAATTATCAGAGTAAAATTTTACAATGTCCGGCCAGGCGGGGTGGCTCAAGCCTGTAATCCCAGCACTTTGGAAGGCGGAGATGGGTGGATCACCTGAGGTCGGGAGTTCTAGACTAGCCTGACCAACATGGAGAAACCCCATCTCTACTAAAAATACAAAATTAGCCGGGCATGGTGGCACATGCCTGTAATCCCAGCTACTCGGGAGGCTGAGGTAAGAGAATTGCTTGAACCCAGGAGGCGGAGGTTGCAGTGAGCCGAGATCGCGCCGCTGCACTTCAGTCTAGGTGACAGAGCAAGACTCTGTCTCAAAAAAAGAAAGAATCCATGGTGTACAATTCAAATCTGGTCAATAAAGCATCGACACAACACTTCACAAATGCAAAAACTTCTGCATCCAAGGATCTATTCACGTCTCAGGCTCTGAGGTCAATTATTCCCTTCCATTAAACAACTTCCTGTTTTGCTCTATAGTATCCTTTATCACGCTGAACTCTTTACACTATTTTTGTTCTGCCTTTTTTCTACCCGCAAAATCATTGCACCTGAACAAGAAACTGATTTGTTTTTAAATCGGGTTTTCTCACAGAATCAGTGACATAAGAGGATTAATTGTTTGTTTTCAATCTTTTTTCTCCTCCTAGATCTATTTTTAAAACAAATTTTATTTTGGGATGTCCTGACTGGGATGATACTAAATTGAAAAGCCTGGTGCAAATTTTATTGACCTCCATTTCCTACTATAAAGGATGTCCCCTACTAATCTGTCATCTACAGGGCAGACAAAGGCCAGAGGCCAGGGAAGCCAAAACAGATGGTGTGTGCAAGAAGCACAGGACCAGACTCTTTATGTTTTGTTGATTGGTTTTAAAATAGTCAACTAGAAGAAAAAGGAAAAAACACAAGGGCATTTTTCTTCTTATTCCAAGCTGTGCCAAACTAAGTGTTACTTGCAATGTGCATGGCAAACACAATGCCTACAGATAGATTTGTAATCAATGTTTCTTGGGTATGATAGAATTCGAATGGATGGAAAGATGGATGGATAGTTGGATAGATGGGTAGATAAATAAATGAATGAATGAATATTATTAAAGGTTTTGTTTAAAACATGCCCAGAACACAAAAAGACAAAAGTTATCACTTAGAAAACTCTATGAATTACAGGCCAGTTGTTCCGCCCACTGGTCCTTGCGCCCTCTCCCTTGCCAGTGTCCTGCTCGCCATCCCCGCCATGCTGTCTCTAGACTTTTTGGATGATGTGCCACAGATGAACAAGCAGCAGCTCTATTATCAAGTCCTAAATTTCGGAATGATTGTCTCATCGGCGCTAATGATCTGGAAGGGGTTAATGGTAATAACTGGGAGTGAAAGTCCAATTGTAGTGCTGCTCAGTGGCAGCATGGAACCTGCATTTCACAGGGGAGATCTTCTCTTTCTAACAAATCGAGTTGAAGATCCCATACAAGTGGGAGAAACTGCTGTTTTAAGGATAGAAGGAAGAAAGATTCCTATAGTTCACCGAGTCTTGAAGATTCATGAAAAACAAAATGGGCATCTCAAGTTTTTGACCAAAGGAGTTAATAATGCGGTTGATGCCCCAGGCCTCTATAAACAAGAACAACATTCGCTAGAGAAAAAAGATGTCGTGGGGAGAGCCAGGGGATTTTTCCTTGTACTGGAATTGGGACCATCTTCATGAACGACTATCCTAAATTTAAGTATGAAGTGCTCTTTTTGCTGGGTTTATTTGTGCTGGTCCATCATGAGTAAGAAGTCTGCCTTGCTGTTCCTGGGAAGATGCCACACTTTTCCTTACTGGATGTTTGGAGTAGATATTGGTTTGTGATTGACGGAATGGAGAACACACGTGCTGGCACTTCTTGGTGGCACTGGTTTGCGTTAGTTTATGTTTCCAGGCCGGAGTTAGTGTGGGCGGCCGTATGTGCACCAGAGAGTGCATTTGAGGGGACTTTCATTCACGCGATTTCATAGTTGTCATTGTTACACTTTCACATTTTTGTACACCGGTGAATTTTTTATATTAAAAGCTTGAGCCAGAAAAAATAAAGTTCTATGAATTACAAAGTGAATGCCTCCCTACTTTTCAGAGATTAACAATGTAAAATTTTATCCATATCCTTCCCTATTTTGTCATATTTTAATATTTTTATTCTTTTATATTATTTATCTATTTATTTATATATCATTAATTTTTTCCCAAATTACAATCACCATTGTCCATAGTGATCTACATCTCATTTTTTTCACTTATACATCAAGAATATTTGTTCATGTCAGTGTATAGAGATCCATGTTGTTCTTTAATGACTACATGATATTCTGTCATATAGCCATACTGTAAGTGATTTAGTCAGACTCTTATTGAAAATTAAATTGTGTTCAATTTTATGCCATTACCACAATACTGCAATGTATTGCCTCATATATATATTACTTATGTCACTGACCATCTGTATTTTTTAAAATTGTTAATATGCCTTGTTATTTTCTGTATTGGTTTCTTTGTCAATTTTTTTTTTTTTGAGACAGGGTCTCACTGTGTTGCCCAGACTGGAGTGCAGTGGCACAATCACAGCTCCCTGCAGTGTCAATCTTTCAGGCTTGAGTGATCCTCCCACTTCAGCCCCACTGAGTAGCTGGAACTACAGGCACGCATCACCATGCCTGACTGATTTTTTTTATTTGTTGTAGAGACGAAGTTCTCGCTATGTTGTTCAGGCTGATCTCAAACTCCTGAGCTCAAGCAATCTTCCTGCCTCAGCCTCCCAAAGTGCTTGGATTACAGGTGGAAGCCACCACACCTGGCATATTTTTTCTTTATAGAAACTCTGCACATTAGAAATTTTTTTTTGAGACCGAGTCTCGCTCTGTCACCCAGGCTGGAGTGCAGTGGCCAGATCTCAGCTCACTGCAAGCTCCGCCTCCCAGGTTTACGCCATTCTCCCGCCTCAGCCTCCCGAGTAGCCGGGATTACAGGCGCCCGCCACCGCCCCCGGCTAGTTTTTTGTATTTTTTAGTAGAGACGGGGTTTCACCATGTTAGCCAGGATGGTCTCGATCTCCTGACCTCGTGATCCGCCCGTCTCGGCCTCCCAAAGTGCAAGGATTACAGGCTTGAGCCACCGCGCCCCGCCCACATTAGAAATTTTAACATTTGTCATTCGTATGTGTGGCAAATATATTTTCTCAATCTTTTGCTTGCCTTTTAACTTTGTTTTTGGCATCCTTCACTGTTTAATTCTTTTAAACTTTTCTATTGTTCAATTTAGTTTTTTCCTTTATTGCTTTTTCTTTTCTAAATAATCCTGAAGAACCTTCCTCAACCCCAAGTTTATAAAAATGTATATCTATTCTTGATAGTTATACCTTTTATGATTGAGACGTTTAATGCTGATTTAATATCCATGTATTTTACCACATCCCAACCTTTTTCAGAATTAAATTACATGGATGTGACTCATTCTAGCCAATGAGATGTCGGCAGAGGTGACATAGGCAGTTCTATGTCATTTTTACCCCGATCATGAAGACCCCTGTGTGAACCTTTACATCTCTCTTCCGCTTCAGCAATACACCTTGAAACCAAATGGTTCAAATTTTGTGGGAACAAAATGGAAGCAGCCTTGATCCCTGAGTCACCACATGGAAGGAAGCTTCCCTTGAAGAGTCTCCAGGCTCACTTTAGACTTCACATAATCAAGAAACTTTCCTGGCTGGGGGTGGTGGCTCATGCCTGTAATCCCAACACTTTGGGAGGCCGAGGCAAGCAGATCACCAGAGGTCAGGAGTTCAAGACCAGCCTGGCCAACATGGAAAAACCTTGTCTCTACTAAAAATGTAATAATTAGCTGGTTACATGCCACATGGTGGCATGTGCCTGTAATCCCAGATACACAGGAGGCTAAGGCAGGAGAATTGCTCAAACCCAGGAGGTGGAGGTTTCAGTGAGCAGAGATCATGCCACTGCACTCCAGCCTGGGTGATAGAGTGAGACTCAGTCTCAAAAAAAAGAAAAAAAAGAGAAACTTTCCTATGTTAAGCTACTGTGATCTTAAGATATTTTTGCTATTGCAGCATAGTTAACCTAGCAATGTTTTTTCTCTACATTTAGAAGTTTACTTCATCTACAAGTTATATTTATATCATGCAATGTGAGAGTAAGTTTGTTTTTTTTTCAAAATACTGTCTTTATCATAATATTAAACTGTTTTAACTTAGAATCATTTATTTATTTATTTATTTGTTTGTTTGTTTATTTTGGAGGGAGACCAATCCTTCAATGATTAGATGAGCTATAAGATGGAAATAAATATTTGACTACTTACGGAGGGGGTTCAGGGGGTACACAGCATGCCTGGAGGCCACACACACACACATGCATAGCGTACACACATACACACACACAGGTCAGGGAGCATGTGGAGAGAGGGATCCATGGGCCAGTCCCTTTATTGGAGTCCAGGACATTATTCAAACAGATGTCCCAAGAGTTTTAGTTAGTGGGTTCAAAACAGCAGGCACAAATTCCAGGTCACACTGTGACTGAGAGGTGATCACTGTAGCACATGGGCGCAGTCCATGTAGGATATGGGGGTCAGCAGGTTCAGTCAGGTAGGTTGTATCTAGCTGTCCCATAGGGAGGGGGTTACCAGGAGGCAGTTGTATAAGACAGATAGCTGGATCAACAACACTGAGCAACTGGGTGTGACAGTTGGGGGAGCATAGAACTGGAAACTGTGTCAAGACAGACTAACTCTGCTACTGATAAGAGAAAGTTAAATGTTCAAAATGGACGTTCAGGCAACATAAAATTATAAGATTCACTACATAAACCCACATATATCAATGTGTCTGTTTCTGCATTCTCTCTTATGTACCACTGATCTATTTATCTATCTCTATACCATTACCCAACCACTTTTATCTAAGTAATTATGTATTATTTTAGGGAGCAAATTTCCCCGTCTGATTCTTCTTTTCAAATACTAACTTCATTGTTACAAATGAATTTTAAAACCAACTTGTCTATTTCCCAAAACAATTCACTGGGATCCTAATCAGATGTTCATTATCTTTGTAAATTTACTTGGGAAGAAACAGCATCTGTATGTTATTTAGTCTTCCTCCCGTGAGGAGTTATTACTCTGTATCTTTTATTTTACTTCTATTTTATGTCCTTTAATGAAAATATATATATATAGTGCTCTTTTTAAGTTAGATGTTTTACAAACTAATTTGACAATATCTTGAATGTGATTTCTCCCATTTTAATTTCTAATTGTTCAATGCTAGTAAAAGAAAGTAATACTTATTTCTGTATTCCACCTTATATAAAGCCATTTTTAAAAATTTAATAGTCTAACAGTCTGTAAATTTGTTGTTGTTGAGACAGAATCCCTCTCTGTCACCCAGGCTGGAGTGCGGTGGCATGATCTCAGCTTACAATAATCTCCACCTCCCAGGTTCAAGTGATTCTCCTGCCTCAGCCTCCCAAGTACCTGGGACTATAGGCACTTGTTATCACACCCGGCTAATTTTTGTATTTTTAGTATAGATGGGGTTTTGCCATGTTGGCCAGGCTGGTCTCAAACTTATGGGCTCAAGTGACCTGCCCAACTCTCCCAAAGTGCTGGGATTACAGACGTGAGCTACCTCACCTGTCCCAATCTGTTGAATTTATTAGATTTGTAGGTATATTGTCATATCATCTACAACTGATAAATGTGTTTCTTTTCTTCCAACGTCATTTTCTTGTATTCCTGGTTTACTTAAAGCTTTTTAAAAAGGGATTTAGGGGCCAGGCCCAGTATACCTGAGTTAATCTGTTCAGGCTGCTAACAGAATACCATAAATGGGATGGCTTATAAACAGCAGAAATTTATTTCTCATCATCCTGGAGGCTGGGAAGTCCAAGATCAAGGCATCAGTAGGTTCAGTGTCTGGTGGGGACCTGCTTCATACACTTGTGTCTTTTTGCCTTTTCTCTGTGTCCTGACAAAAAGGAGAAAGAGATTTCCCTGGGGCCTCTTTTATAAGGGCACTAATCCCTTTCATGAGGACCTCACCCTCATGATGTAATCACCTTTCAAAGCCCTACCTCTAAATACCTTCACATTAGGGATCAGGTTTCAACACGTGGATTTTGGAGGATACAAATATTAACTCTTTAATAGCAGTATCTAATTCTGAGTTTCAATTTTAAATAGAATCTAAGTAGAAGCTTGGTTGTAAAATCTCAGGTAAAAGCTACAGGTGACCAGATACTGGGGCTCAGCGTATGCTAAAGTTGCTTAAATGCCTTCGGCAGAAATCAAGATTGATCTTGGAGACTGGAGCAGGGCTGAGACTTGTAAGGAGGCCATGAAGGCTGGGAATCCAGCAGGACTTGAGAACAAGGAGTGAGCTGCATGCACAGGAGTCCCGTGTGTTTAAAGCATCATTTAAGTGAGAGTACCAAGATGGCTAAAAAACTCTCGGAGCAGTGTGAAGAAGAAGAGGCGAGAACCACCCCCGGACCGACCAAAGCCCGCGCGCGCTGCATCCCGCGTCCAGCACCTACCTCCCGCCGCCGTCGCCACCATGCCCAAGAGAAAGGCTGAAGGGGATGCTAAAGGAGATAAAGCCAAGGTGAAGGACGAACCACAGAGAAGATCCGCGAGGTTGTCTGCTAAACCTGCTCCTCCAAAGCCAGAGCCCAAGCCTAAAAAGGCCCCTGCAAAGAAGGGAGAGAAGGTACCCAAAGGGAAAAAGGGAAAAGCTGATGCTGGCAAGGAGGGGAATAAGCCTGCAGAAAACGGAGATGCCAAAACAGACCAGGCACAGAAAG